AACGCGGTGACGTCGGCTGCCAGCCGGTGTCGTACTGGGCCAGAGAGACATCGGCAGGGCTGGCGGCTGGTTTGCCGGACCAGCAGACGACGGGGACGGATGGATCTTAACATTACAAGACAGCGTGTTAATTCAAAAAATTCTGACCGTCAGGGCAACAAGTCCACCAAGTCCGTCGGCAAAAGCGACGAGCGTGCGCGACGATCATTGGAGACGATGTCAGCCACCAGCACCTGGCATGTTGAGCAGAACACGCACCAGAGATATCTCTAGCGGTTCCGCACACGATGCCATCTGCCGGCAAATCTTGGAAGGTCGCCCGGGTAGCTTGATAACTCTCGCGCGGTACATGATCGCTTTTGTCGACTGACGCTCAGCTCACTCCCGCCCTGCGGACAACCGCTTACCCAGCTTGGGGATCCGGAAAACCGCTTCAGTCGCTATTTTACCGATATTACGTTTTCGGTGAAAAAGCGACGGAGACAGCCTACACAAGAAAGTGTGTTCCTGGCGTGGCACACATTAAAAATATGTGTACATGCGTGGCACACTCTTAGAAGTGTACACTTGCCATAGCGCTACGCTATTTGGCGCGTACACACTAAGACGTGTGTGCCACGCACGTACACACTTCATAGAGTGCGCCAAGCCACGGCACACACTTCCTTGTGTGTGCTTTCAAGTTCACACAAAGAAGAGTGTACTATGTACACACTTGGTTTTATAGTGTGTGAATGACGCACACCTGTAGGTGTGTGAAGGCCACTTCATACATGTTAAGGTACAAGTGAGTGAATTTTAAAGGAAAATTCACCTTAACTCCTTTTTGTGTACGAAGAGCATTCACACACCTACAAGTAGTGTGCCACACACTTGCGCTGCTTCCAGTGTAGGTTCTGTTCCGCACTGCTGTGCTGCATTGTGTTTGATGTGTAGAGTTAAGTTTTTTGACTGCTTGTTGGGCAACATCCTCATCCTCGCCGGGACGAACCATGGCCGAGCAAGAGCTGCAGAGCCAGTGGCTTTGCTTTTCAATAAAAAATTGGGTGAAGTAGTTAATAGCGTACGTAGTACAGTTTTGCTACGCCTGAGAATGAAAACATCTGTACTCTACAAATACTGGAGTGAGAACTCTGTCCTAAAAAGAGCGAGATTTTCCTCCTTGCTCCATTAAAGTGATTATTTAGAAGCCTCGCTCTTATTGAGAACGATTCTCTCGCTAAAATCAAGAGAGATTAACTCAGGGCAGCTCCCCTGTCACTCCCCCGGCACCTGTTTGCGCCAGCAGCCCCTGCAGCCAGTGCATAGGCAACCCAACGTACTGGCATGTCTTAGCCTGGACACCCGGTTTGTACCCCAAAAAAACGTTTCTTGTTTCAAGCAAATTTTTCCTTGTATCAAGTTCACGCTGACACAAGATCAAACCTACTCTTGAAACAAGCTGATAATTTCTTTCGAATAAGAGAAAAATCTTATTCCGAATCAGCCTTGTTTCAATGGCGAATTTCATCTTGTGTCAGCTTGCACTAGAATCAAGAAACTATTTTTCTGGGTGTGAATCGTGAATCCTCGCTCTAGGATTTCTAGTGTACTTTGGTACAATGTTTTGCGAGTCTTTGTTGTTGACTGTTGACCACACCGGAGCCACTCGGCCCCAGGCCGCCGGACGTCACTCACTTTACCTTGGCCTTCGCTAGACCAATTCTCAAAACCACCTTTTTCGAAAATCGATCGGGACCGCTCGGACTCAGGTTACAAATAATTCATAGTTTAACGTCCACCATAGCAGTTCTTGTTTGTGTTTTCTCATTAAAACACGATATTACTAAAACAGCTGCTGTTTCTTAATTCTTTGACCAGCGTTTTAACCTGTCGTGGTATTAGTTTGAATCCCCGTTTGAAACGTTTTCTTTGGGTCTTCAACTAAAGATTACCGGGGTTGACTCGAAATTATGCGTACATACCTAGTTATATCAATTTGAGCAAACGCAACATTCTCTCTCCTCCTAAACGATGAATGATAATGTTCAACTCGGCCGCGCGGGTCGCGCGGGCCGCACTAGGGTGAAGGGATGGTATTTTCTAGTGAAAAACGACAAACCTTTACACAAAAAAAAATTAAAACCTATACATTTTGTGTAGGTCTTATTGATCTGAATTAGGGGCTGATCCGAAATACGTTCAGTCGCTCGCCATTCAAAGTTTTGGACAATTTTAGACTTTCCACACAAATCACTAAATTTGCAGTTGTTGTAGACAAAACATCGACCCCTTATTTGGCTCGTAAAAATCCAAACTAGCAACGTAGCGATGCAAAATTATTCTGAGGATTCCGAATAAGCCCCAGTTTGTGCTGCCCGGGAGGAAAAAACTTAACTTTTACCTACATACCTCTACTTAACTAAAACTTAACTTAACTTTAGGTACACAAAATTTACTTTAAAGTATGCACAAAGTACTAGAAATTTCGGACAAGGGGTTTAAGTGGCACATAATGTCCACATAAATTTAACATTTGGACGTTAACTTCTATCAAGTATACAATAAAGTATACTGAAAGTTCATTTCTTTCCACCCGGGTGTAGCGTTCTATTTCAAATCGACGATAAGAGTAGTGTAGGAGACGAAAACAGACCGGACCAAACCCAAAATAGGCGAATGTCGATATTCCGTGTAATTTATATCTTTAATAAGTTTTAACTCTACCTAAAATCGAAAATAAAAAATATTTTAAAATTATAAGGTTTTGCTCACGATTGGCCGAAACCAGGCCCCACGCCACTCGAGGGGTCTTCTACTAACTAACTCATGTACACTTGCCCGCGCCCAACTGGCGTCAAACTCGCAAAAATAACTCGCAAAAGGTAGCTCTAAATTTGCGAAAAATAGCGCAAACCTCTCCCAAAATTGATCCCAACTCGTGCATAACTCGTGGCAACTCGTCAAATCGTTGTACACCTATTTTGGAAGTGGGGGACCCCTCGACGATACCGCAGCTCCGAAGAATGAGCATGACGTACGTATTCACGGTAAAAAAATAATAAAAAGAATTTGTTTCATGGGTGGCCTTGGCCCCCCCACCCCTACCCCCTTCGGCTTCCTCCGTCTTGCTCCGGCTTCGACGCCACCGCCAGTCATCGAAGTTGGCTGCACCAGGTTGGTAGGCCGGCCTGGCGCTCTTGGCCGTTCCCCCCCTACCCATACCGGCTCCAACGCTACCGTTAGTTCTCGATCGTGTCGTGCTCAGGCGGCTCGCGCAGCCAGCAGGCGTGGACTTGGAGTCGGCAGCACCAGACTTAGTAGTGCCACAGGCAGGCCGGCGCCATGGTGTGGCTGTTCGGTGCCAGCTGTCGCAGCAACGCGCGCCTGGACGGCAAGCGCGCCGTCGTCACGGGTGCCAACACCGGCATCGGCAAGGAGACGGCCCTGGACCTAGCGGCCAGGGGTACGTGGGGGATAAAAGTGTCCGAAACCAGGTGTTAAATACGCGCCATCATCATAGAAGTTTAACACTTCCATGTATTTAAACTTCCCACTTCAGGTAGGGATTTAAAATTACATGGCGTGATGAACGCGTGACGAGGGGGAAGTCAACGAGATCGCGACGTCACGCTTTTTGTGAGGTAGGCAGTACAGTGCAGTTAACAATTTGTGGTTATCAAAAGGGAGCTCAGTTAAAAGTTTAAAATCACACCATGTATCAAATTTCATTGAAAATATATCATTTTGCTTTTAAAAACTGCAATTTATGTTTGTGCATATTTTTTCCTGGTATATTTTTGATTTGTTAAAACAGTGACGTCACGCAGAAGGGGGGGGGGGTCACCTGCATGTGATGTGAGCGTAAGGGGGGGGGGGGGCAAAAATCACCCCAAAAAGCGTGACGTAATTTGTGAACGGCACCGATTATGTATGAAGAAACCGATTGGGAACTATTTACCTGCAGCCATCGGGCCACCCTGCCTCGTTTAGCTGTGGGATGTCGTTTGCCGTGTTTTGATATTTTGACAGGACTTTATGCAGAGTAGCACCTTGAACGGGTGTATTCTTTACATACGCATATGCGTAGAATTTGCAGTTCTATGCATGATAGGTAATTCTATTTAATTTTTCTAAACATTATTAAGAAAAATTGTTTCTTATTTCAAAAGCATGCTGCTTCAAGATTAAATTCACTCTTGAAACAAGTCATTATTGTCTTTAGTAGGAGATTTTTCTCTTATTAAGGATAAATGTCCTTGAAACCAGAAAGAGTTTCTGGGTGTAATATCTATACAGTGTGTTACATGCATTATCAGTTTCATCCCGGATGTGAATAAATCTATGCAACTTATATAACTGAAATGTATATATTGAAATATCGGTTCCACTAGTGTGCCAGGGTTAGCAGTCGAGTAATTTTCAGTGAGACGCCAAGGTAACAAGTTGAATCGATGTCCATTCAGATATACATATGGTCAAAATATCAATTTAATTTGACTTTCGACATCTAAGTCGATCGAGAAATAGAGCATAAAAGTGTTTTGCCGGGCGGCGCCGCGCGCGACCCGTCCCGTTGTTCTTATCCCAGCTAATCACCGCGGTCTGCGTGCCGTCTTATCGAGGCGAAAGGGAGAGAGAGAGAGAGAGAGAGAGAGAGAGAGAGAGAGAGAGAGAGAGAGCAGGGAAGAGCAGGAAGGGCTACTTGACGTTAAACCAACATCGGTGCTTCTCATTGCGAAGGAAAGCTCAAAAATTTGGCCGTGTTATGGCAAACTATACCAATTTTTAGTAGGAAATAAATTTCATAAATTTTGCCCTCGTGTAATATTTCATAAATTACGTGAAATATTACAAACCTTTCATGTAACTTACAGAGCCTAGGCTAAAGTTAAACACTTGCAAGTGTACAAATGCGGCAGGTCGATAAGGGATCGTCCAGTGAGTACTTCCCTTTCTGTTCGATGAATTACGGTAGCGTAGCGCCTGCGAGACTAAGGGTAGGCCACCCTGCAGTACACTCATGCACTTTGGGACAAGATGTTGCCTACCTCTCAGGTGCTATGAAAGCTTGCAATGGCTTACCTTGCAGTTTCGTAACGGCAAATAGTGTACGTACGTTTTGGATCCCTAACCCTGGCAAGTGTTCAATGACCCAAGTCAATCCCTGTCAAATGACAAAATTTCAAGTCAATCACGTGCACACGTGCAGTTACAGTATGCGACGTTAAAGACACTGCAAACCAAACAGTGTGGTCAGTACACACAAAGGGAGAGTCGACTTTCAATTACACATATAGAGTATTCCGGTGGCAGATTTGGAGGAGACTCATGGGAATAACAAAAGCCCACTGCGATTGCGTATTAGCATGCTATTGCTATGGTTAGTGGGGAGCGGCTCGGCCGGCCCGGTGCCGCCTCCCACTCCGGCCCACCAAAGCCTGCTCATGCGTAGTGGGCTTTTGTATTTGGTGAGTACACACTTGGTGTGCTCTGTATGGTAACAACACACTTGCGTGTGTGCTCGTCAAGTCAACTCTTGCTTGTGTGTAGTAAGTACACTGTGAGTTTCTGCTCTCCAGTGGAGATCTCAACAAAGTGTTCGACAGCGTTCTCCTTCCTTGTGCCGCCAGGCTGCCGGGTCGTCCTGGCGGTGCGCGACACTGCCAAGGGCGAGCGCGCGGCTGCCGACATCCGCAAGAAGCTGAGCAGCAAGCGGCGCGCGAACCTGGCCGTCGGTGAGGTGACCGTCGAGCACTTGGACCTGGCGTCGCTCAAGTCTGTGCGCGCGTGTGCGCTCCGCCTGCTGAACAGCGAAGAGCCGGTGAGGGGTTGTTTTTGGCTCTTAGATGAAGAATTTTGAGTAGAGTCAGGGTTCCTAACTTTGGACTAGCACCCCTCGAGGGATCGATGCCTACTCCACCCCAGTCACTTTGTGGTCCATGACTACTGTTGCTTCAAGATAGGTAATCCTTGGAAATGATATATTTTGTCGTACACTAACCAAGATGTGGCTTTTCTGGTTCAAATTTCAACAACAACAACAACAACAACAACAAGAAAAAATAATGATTTTCGTTAGCAGGCATTGCAAGGCGGAAAGTCATTTGGAATTTAATTATTACCCTGACGAGCCGAAAGACAGAGGAAGGACATCAAATATTGTCTCTGGCTTGTCTGAAACGTGTCTTTATGTCTGGAAACTGTCTTTTTAACGTCCTGCAAGACATACGTGTCCTTTGATTGTCTATATTTTGTCCAGTTGCTGTCTTTTTAATGTCCTTTT